CTTTTTGAGTTCCTGAATCGTTGCCGAGTCCAACGATACTAAACATGCTGGGTTTCGTCTTACGGTTGGTGTAGCGTAGCGATTTAGCGCGAAAAAAACACTTGGCGATATCTTCAAAACCGCTGTTCCGATCGAGACGAAACCACCGCCAGAAACACGGAATCATAGCTTGTTAACTATATGCAAATGCCCAAATGCGAAAATATTGATAGTAAGGGGTAGTAAAATTCAAACAAAGTCATGTGTCAGTCATTTTTTACGTGTTTTTTCATATAAATGTTTATAACTCGGAAGTGAATTGAGATATTTGCACCAAAATTGACACACATATGTATGGGGTCACTCTGAGGACACATAAAAAAAATTGTGGGACTGAGCCTCTTGGTGGCGCTATAATAGAACAAAACGTGAAATTCCCATTGACTTCAATAGAGTTTTGTGAAATAAAATGCTATACTAAACAAATGCATTGGTGTAATATTACAAAACGCAGTGTGTGCCATAAGCAGCATGCCCTGAAGGTACTCAAAAGATTTTGAGACAGCGCCACCTGTTGGTCAAAAGTTATAATTAATTTCTGAGAACGCTAATAACTTTTGAATAAATTTGCCTATTGCAATGAAACTGATCTTAATAGATTCCTTCGGTTATGCCGAAAACATAGATATCAGGTTTTCCATAATCAGACAAACGTCCTGTTCGCCATCTTTATTTCTTTAAAAAACCTTCTTTTTCGAACTCCTCCTAGACCGTTTGTCCGATTTTCACGAAAATTGAATCGTATCATCTCCAGACCGTGCCGACTAAAAGTTATGAATTGCACGATGATAGACAAAACCGTTTTCGTATACCACAGCATCAAATTTTAGGCATGCTGCCAAAATTACTATTTAGGCTTTATCTCTGCAATGCCTTCACATTTTGACACCAAACTTTGCATGTGTCATTGTCACCTCACTCTGACCACATCACATCTATTTCGTAACTGCGCCACCTATTGTTCGAAAGTGATAACCCATTAAATCATCTTATGAGTTAATGTTTATGTGATTTTCTTAGCCATTTGCCCAAAGTTCTCTCAAAATGCCCTTAATTGCTCCTTGCTGCAGTTGGTCTGCCACTCCTTGCCATTTTGGCATATGTTGCCGCTTCTTGCGCTTGGCCCCGGTAATGGCTGCTTGCAGCTATATTTCTTATTGGCTCTGCTTGCAGATTGATGAGGACCCCAGCCTGATTCCCGAGGCCACCCAGGGAGGCACGTTTAATTTCGATCCAGCCTCCAACCTACAAACCAAGGAGTTCAAGTTCTAGACAACCAGAGCTTCGAACTCGGGAACGGTGGGTTTCCCAGCTGCTCCTCAACCCCTGCCACCTACTGACCCATCATCTACCAACCACTCACTAACCAGAAAAACAAACCAATCACCACGCTCAAACGACACTCGCTCACACAGAAGAAAATAGCACTGAAGGTTCTGAGTACCTGTCTCAACGCCACTCAAAACATGGATGGATCTCAACAACCTCAAGACATGGAAGAGAAAAAGAACAAGATTATACTGCAGTTGCCAAAAAAAAGAAAAGAAAAGAAAAAAAAGAAATATATTTTGCTCTTCTTTCACTCACTCACACACATAGGTGAGCATGAACAATAAAAGGAACTTCTGTTGTTGTACCAGCCATCATATCAGCCAAGGAAGATGAAAGAAAGAGATGTTCCTGAAATAGAAAAGCAGGGATTTTTCTTTTGTTTCTGAGAAATTCCTTCCCTCAAAACATTGCGTTTCTGGTGACGATCTTCGAGTCTCAGACAGACGTCCAGCCTCTACTGTGTTAAGCCATTCGGACCCCCTCCCTCATTCATCTGAATCTATAATGGGTTAATCCATGGAATATAATTCAAATGGGGGAAGGGAGTGTCTCTAAATATGTGGTGTGCAAAACAGAACTTAAATTATCGCCACAAATTCTTGCTTTTTCTTCATCTTGAAATTATGGATATTTAAAAAAAAAACGAAAAAAAAAAAACACTGAAGATACTGAAGAAGAAAAAAATTGTCAGCAGATCACACAAACTTAAATGGAGAGATGGTCAAGCACCCTCATTTTGAGTTATCAAGTTCTCCAGCGATAGTGTAGTGGACATTCATTGTGCCGATCTTTTTGGTTTGCAATTGGACTGTCGGATGTGTCGAAGGAGGATCCTATTTGAGATGATCACCTGTCCTGACCTTTGGAAGTTCATTGAGATCACCTTAACAGGTCTTTCTGCTTAACTAGAGTGCTCTGGCAGCGCTCTTTATTTCCTGGATTCAGCTTCCTCTACTTCCTGTCTGTAACCATGGTAATAAGCCCAATTGTAACCGGTTGGGAGGATATTTTCACTAAATCAGTCAAATTCAGCACTCGGTAGTCAAAACCACAAGGAACTTTGCAACAGTGATTGGATTGTGAAATCTTTTTTTGTTTTGATCAGTGGAGCTTCCGCTTTTGCAGTTTTTTCCAGTCTTACGCGCACACTTTTGGGTTGTTCCCGTTTTATTGCTTAATTGTAAGTGGAGAGCGATGTTCGCTTAATTTTGACTATACAAGCAATGGGAAAAGGAGATCCATGACATTGTGGGTCCTTTTTTTTTTTTTTTTTAAAGTTGGTTTTTAATCTTATTTCACTTGCTACAAAACCTTATCGTACCAACTAAAAATATAATTTTATTTCTTGTTTAGGTATATAATGAGAAGCTACCACACTTAGGTCCACTAGATGTTGTTGGGACGCTACAGAACAATAATAACATTGTGATTATTGATTTACAGCCATTAGGGGTATCTCTTTTGTTTGTTCTTTTTGTTTTGTAATGGCAAATGATTGCCATTATTTGGAAAATGGGCTTTCTTACTGTTGTGACTGGACTTTATTTTTTTTTTGTTCCTTTTCCCTGTGCATTAACTTGTAAAGGGATGTACGGGGAAAAATTGCCGTTGGACTAAAGTAGTTGTGTTTGGGCCGCAAACTGCTGAAAAGACAGTAAGGAAGCTAAAGGCAGCCCTGATGATTTTTGAATTAGCCATTTATTATTGTTGAACAAAAAGAAAAAAAACTGGTTTGAAATTCATGGACTTATCTAGACAACTAGAAAACGAGCCACTTTAAAGATGTTTTGTCTTGTATCAGAAATGGATACAAGCTTATTGCTTGTTGCAAGATTTTTACTTGCTGAAGAAAAAAATTAATCTAAAAAAGCGACAGATCGCATTTTGGCCTCTGATTGTTTGTATGTTTTTATAAATTTTAGAACTGAATTTCTCTTTAAGGTGGCTCATCAGTATTTTTTTTTCAACTCTTGTGCATATTAAAGATAAAGAATGAGTTGAAATTCATTGTGCCTTTTGTTTTTCATTTCAAAGCAACTAAAAAAAGGTTCATAATGCCTACCACGTTGCATTGGAGCTGCTTATAATATTGGGGTCTTTTGGGTGTTATATCTGCCTATCTCTGGACTTTACAATGAGATGTTCTCTGGAGTAGAGTATAACTCTAATTAAATTATCCTCTAGTCTGCTGGCTGACTTGTAATTGATCCCCTAAACTTGCATTCTGCTCCCTGTTCATTCTTTTCATATGGATCACAATTCTAACCCCCTCCCCCCCTCCCTCTACTCCCACCTTTCTATGGCAACACATCTTTCACTCATCACTCCCTCAGGACGTGCTTATGTATCAATGAACCTAACCAAAATAAACTTGCTGTTAGCCATCCTTTTTATTGCTCTCTTATGATTGACCTTTTAATGCCTTTGTGTCTTTTCTATTTTACCCGTTAGCAACCTTTCCTCCGTGTCCCTGTTCTGTGCATTTAATTTGTCTTTTTATTCATGATTCGCTTTCTCTTTCTAATATGCAATAGCTCAGTGTTATTTATCATGAATGAGAATCTCACCAGTCACCTGTGTCCGCATCATGTGGAAAACCATTATAGGGTAAATGATTGCATTGGTGATGTGAAATATGTAAGTTCTAATATACTGCTACTTAAAGGGATAGTTCACCCAAAAATATTCAGTATCAGTAAATAGTCAGTATTTACTCGCCTTCAAGTTGTTCCAACCCCGTAAGACCTTCGTTCATCTTCGGAACACAAATTAAGATAAGAAACATATCACTCTTAGAAGAAAAGGTTCTATATAGAACCTTAAAAGGTTCTATATAGAACCTTGAAAGGTTCTATCAGCGCTACCTATTTGGAACCCCTAAAAGGTTCTATACACCCTTAAAAAAAGGGTTACTCTGGGTTCTGTATAGAACCCTGGGGTTCCATACTTGGCCAATAGAACCTTTTACCAAAAAAATGGTTCTATATAGAACCATTTTGGAGTTCCATATAGGAGAACCATTTCTTCTAAGAGTGGGCTTCTTGAGGGATTGAAACTTGCTGACCTTAAAGTTAGTAATGACATCGTTAAAATAGTCCAAGTGACTACAGTGGCTCAATGCTAAGTTTATCAAGCGACGAGAACACTTTTTGTGTGCAAAAATATCGACTTTATTTCAACTATTAATTTCCTTCTCTGTGGGCGTCGAGTTAGATCACTAGTACAACAGCATAAGCTTCTGTTGTGCGTCACACGCATCACACACATGACCAGCGTAGGCCAATAGTGAGTCTATGTGTGACGTAGCTCTACGCTATCACAGTACGTTAACAGACTAGAGGCCCACAGAGAAGGAAATTATTATTTATTTTTTGCGTTCAAAGTATTCTCGTCGCTTGATAAAGTTAAGATTGAGCCACTGTAGTCACTTGGACTATTTTAACAATGTCATCAATACCTTTTCGGGGCCGGCAAGTTTCAATCCCTTAGAAGCCTATGGAGGATTGTTCTAGCTCTCAGATTGAAAAAAAATATCATAATTTGTGTTCCGAAGATGAACGAAAGTCCTACGGGGTTGGAACAACATGAGGGTGAGTAAATACTGACAGAATCTTTTTTTTGTCCATTTTTGGGTGAACTATCCCTTTAAGAACTACAATTACCACAAGTATGATAGTTTATACCCATGATGGATCAGACAAGCATTGTAGTCATTATGGAGCAACTTGCTCCCAACCTACTTTTTTAAAAGTTAGTTGAAAGTGTACATTTAAAATGTAGAATTAAATGTGTAATTTTAATCATAAGTTGAAAATGTCCATGTGATTTTCCAAATGGCATTCATGGTTCATTAAATGTCTGCGTTGGTCTACAAACTGACGCCATGACACTGTAAAAACATTTTCATGCAGTTTTAAGCGCGATATTTTACAAGTACGTTTGTTGAATATAACTAATAAGTAATGGAGAAAAGATTACTCAGTGAAACAAAACATGGCAAATTGGCGCCAAAACATGTTCTGTTGGGTGGCGTGGACTGAATGAAGTGGAGTGAGTTCTGCGCGAGCCAATCTCCACCGGGATGGGCGGAGTCGAGATATCATTCAACTTATCCAAACGTGCACTGAGTCTGACTCGACCCTGTACAGTCAAGTGTACATAATGGCAGAAGCCGTTGAAGAACCCGTACTTTTCACTAAAGTAACAGTTTATTCTCTACTCGCGTGTGTGGCCCAATTTGCTGTCGGGTTTGCTTTCGCGCAAAAATGGGGGAATAAATGTTCAGCTGTTGATCGGTGGGTCCTCGTGTGGTTATTTTACGACGCAATAGTTCATTTTACTCTGGTAAGTATAAAGGTGCATTGCATACAAGAACGCTTTCGTTAACCCTGCCTGTAACTCCCCGCTCGCCTCTTGTCTGTTTCACCGTGCAGGAGGGACCCTTCGTCTACATGTCACTTGTTGGAAATGTAGCAACTTCTGACAATCTGTTGGCAGAACTATGTGAGTATGCTGTGTTGCAACACTCATAACCTAAAGGAAAATGACAGGTGATTGCGCTGATTAAACTGTTTGCTCAGGTGTAGAGCCGTTAACTTGGGTTTAGTCAGGTGGAAGAAGAAGAGTTTGATTTTAGACGAATAGATTAGTACGACATCTAGCGGTGTTTGTATTATGTTTAGCAAAATTAGTGCAATGTTCAAAGTCCAGTCATTCACTGACTGAACATAAGAGATTCTATGAAATAAATCAATTCAGAAATTGTGAAACTAGTTTAACAGAAGTTGGATTATTGAGAAAGTATTATTAAATTCCCCTTTGGCAAGTAATATTCTTCCCCTCAGAGGTAAGTCTCTTTGCAGCTATAGATTAAATTTTCTTCGCGTTTTCTCCAAAAAAGGGAAAAAGATGTAAAAAATTGATTTTTACATGTAGAGATACCTAGATAAGATATCTTCTTTATTTGGAATATTATCGGTACCCAAGAGGCATCTCTTAAAAAAGAGCAGAGTGATCTTCTAATTGGGTGATCTTTATTTCCCTTTCTGCAATGAGAATCCCTTTCAAGGCACTTTTATTAATATAATGACAGAAACACTGATGCAATTACCAAGCAGCCTATGGAGGAGTGAGACAGCTCTCAGATTTCATAAAAAATATCTTATTTTTTTTTTCCAAATATGAATGAAATTCTTATTGGGTTGGAACAACATGAGGGCGAGTAATTACTGACAGAAATTTCATTTTTGGGTGAACTAACCCTTTAAAATACTCAACAGGGAAAGAATATGGCAAGGCAGATGAGCGCTGGTTATACTCAGACCCGACTATAGTATCTCTAGAACTTCTGACAGTGGTTTTAGATGGTTCTTTGGCCCTGCTTCTGGTCTATGCAATCATTAAAGACAAACACTACAGGTAAGTACAGTCATTTGTTTTAATGTAAATCCAATCCATGTGAGGTCCATTAAGTCTAAATGACAATTTACCTAATTGTGATAGAGCAATGTTTTGTCTTAAATCAACAACCTATTCTTAAATTCATAAATTTATTTATTTTGAACCAGGCACTTTGTGCAGATCACGCTGTGTGTGTGTGAGTTGTACGGGGGCTGGATGACCTTCTGTCCAGATTGGATAATCGGAAGCCCTAACCTGAACACCAGCAACTGGCTGTACCTGTGGGTCTACCTGGTGTTTTTCAATGGGATCTGGGTGCTGGTGCCTGGACTCCTCCTCTGGCAGTCATGGAGGGATTTAAGAAGAATGCATCAGTATCCAAAGAAGAAGAACAGATAAAATTAGAGCAAGTGCATGGCTAAGCACCTATTGTAATCTTTAATGTTGCACCTATTCTATCTTTAATGTAATCTTCTTCCTTCTGCTCTGGAAGTCTATGGCAGCCCATAGACATGATTGTGGGAAAGTTGTGAAATTTGGCACACAGATAGAGGACTGTCTGAACTGTCACCATAGCATTTGGGATCTCAAGACGATTCGATTGCACCCTATGATGTCATTTTCCATCACAAAAAAATTTCCGTCATTTTGAATTTTCCGAAAAGCCTACTTTTCCAGGGGTCGGCAAGTTCGGTCCTAGAGAACCGCTGTCCTGCAGAGTTTGGCTCCAACACTAAAAAAGAAAGTAATCCTGAAGTCATTGATTATTCAGATCATCTTTAGACAATGGCAACAAAAAGTTATGTAATTCAGGTTGATTTGTCAAACCATTCTTGAATAGCGCATGAACAAATTCGGCGAAGTGCCCGTAGAAATGAACATGACTCTAGCTTATTCTGACCAAATTTGGGGTTATTATTATAACCTTGACCTGAGGCAACCTGCACAGTTTCGGTGAAGTGCCACCTAGTAGTCAGGAGATACGAAATAGCTTTTTTTGGTTTTATAACTTCTGAACAGTGTGCCCAAAATTCACAAAAGTTCTCTTTAGATTCGGAGCAGCGTGTCGAGTCATATGATACCCAATTTCCCATATCGGCCATCTTGAATTTTTCGTAAAATTCTGTATTTTACGAACGCATTGGCATATCGTTACGAAACTCGGTATGTGTCTTCGGTACCATGCCATACCATACCATTGACAGTACTCAAAAAGTTTCTGGCCAGCAGCACCTTGTGGTCAAAAGATACAATGAAATTTCCAAATAGGATAATAACTTTTGAATAAGTTAGATTATTGGTGTGAAACTGGTCTTAATGGATCCCTTGGGTCATACTGAGAACATGGACACCAATCTTGCCATTGTCAGCCTTGCCTTCCTGTTATTTGTTTTGATTTTCTTGAAAAACTTTCTTTAAAAACGTACTTTTTCAAACTCCTAAACCATTTGTCACAATTGTCCGATTTTTGTCCGAACATTTGGCCGGTTTTCACCAAATTCGAGTCAGATCATCTTCAGACTGTGAAAAAGTTATGAATATCGTGTTGAAAAGACGAAACCGTTTTCTTTGGCATGACTTGTGTTCTTAGTGTTTGGCCCTGATAATTGCTACATGCTGCCATATTTACAGTATTATTGCAGTTATGATAAGCATCTTAAACTCAATAGAATGAGATGTATGAACTGGGTGTGATGCAGTTTGAGTATTATACACGTTTATTGGGTACACAAAGGAACGCTCGTTATCTTTGCATAATTGCAGTGGTAAAGACACAAAGGAAGCTCACACAAACTACTGACTCATAGCATACTTTTTGTTGTGCTATCTGGATTCCTGTCTATGACAATCTAAAACTGAATCCCTTATGTCGCAGTAGCTCTTTTACACCTTTCTAGGGCCATGTTTCCCTGCTAATCCTCCTTACCAAATCACACTTGTTTGCTTCTCCTTAATATAAGGGTGAATTATGTTTCTTTTTACACAGATTGTGGTATTGAGCTGTTTTCTTGCCAAGTTATGGCAGCATAATTATTTTCCTGCTGTATTTTGACCATATACAGGTCTGACCAAGAAATAAGTTTAAGGAATTACTTTATCTTTGTAATTTCAGATACTAACTTCATACAATTTAGGCATTGCAATTTCACCACTGCTTCATGTGTAAATAATAATGCAATTTCATTATTTTATAGATCAGTTTTATAGATCATTGTTTTTTACATCAGTTAACATGTCTGAACATGCCTAAGATGTTAATTAATCATTTACTAATACATTAATAAAACCAAATGTTGTACCTGTTAATATTTAATTTAGTTGGCATGAACTAGCAATGTTTAATTTGTATTATCTAGTGTAAACAAATGAAATACAGTGCTTATATGTTAGTTAATGCATTAAGGGTTCCCCTTTTGAGAATGAAATTGCATTTAAAAAGCACCTCGTTTCTATGAATTGCGCTCATTTTATTTATTATTATTAAAAAATTATGTACAGTATCACAGGATTCTCATCAACATTTGTGACAATCTGCACTACAGGAGACACATGAACAGGGCATTAAATTACACACACACATATATATAGACACAGTGCAGAACATGAAGACAAGTAAAAAAAAAAACATAATATTTAGAGGATATACAAAAACTGTGAACAAGTACATTCATTAAATCAGTAAGTCATCTTTCCTCTCCATTCTTGGTGTGATTTTAGTGTGATAGTGCCATGATCAAACCTCTTTACTTTGCGTTCTGAGCTTCCAGTTTTTTTAAAAAAGAAGAGATTTTCCTTAGATAGTGAGATAGTACCTTCCTTACACTTTATGTAGTAGTTTAGCTATAGAGAGAAAGGCTTGTTGAAGACCCAGTCCCATCATGGCGCTGCAAGCTTGGATCTCCCAAACCCGATCTGTGTAACTATCCAGTTCCAGCAACGTCGACACGTCTCTAATAGTCATAGAGTTTGGCAGATCTTTTTTGTTGGCCAGCACCATCAGAGGAACTCCTTTCAAATGCTCATCACTCAGAATCTTCTTCAGGGCTTTCTTAGCCTCTCCCATCCTGGCATGATCACTGCTGTCCACCACAAACACCAGTACTTTACATCCCTCCAGGTAGTGTCTCCAATTGGGCCTCATAGTCCCCTGTCCCCCAACGTCCCACACGGTCAGTGAGGTCTTCTTGTTCAGCTCTACAGTTGCAACATTAAAGCCCACGGTAGGAGAGGTGTCCATCAGCACTCCCTTCTGCTGTCTGTACAACAAAGTGGATTTTCCAGCTGAATCCAGACCCATGAGGACAACCTGAGGAGTCTTTTTTAACTGTTTAGACTTGAAAACTCCCATCCTGGTGTGAAAGACACGTTCCTGTTTAAACTTGCTTATCTCTGTAGCTTCAAAATGGCTTCTGGCACCAGGATCCTCGATTTCTCTCTTCTGCTTCTGTTTTCCTGTGATATCATATGCAAAGTAGAAGCGACACTGAACTACAGCAGCTGAAATTATTGCTCAGGACCAAGCGCGTGAGATCCTGCCAGACGAGTTGGTCAAGATTTTTAAGCAGGTTTGTCAACTTTTCATACGGGCCAACCTTCTTGGGGAATCCAAGAAACTAAACTGTACTGTAAATAATATGACTGATACTGTTGCTATGCTTGAATGTACAGTCAATAAATGAATGAACAGGGAAAAGTCTACTCTTAAACTAAAGAGTGTATATGTACTGTACATACACACACATATGTATATGTGTGTATATGTATGTATGTGTGTATGTAACCCCATAGGTCCTACTCACTCTGCTCTGTGCGGGCCTCGAATCCCGGTCTCCGGTGTGGGAGTCAGACACTCTAACAAGGAGGCTTAATCTTGCAGTCTCTAGAGCACCTCTTAAGATCAGGGGAGTGAGGTTTATGTACAGCTCTTTCTAGCTGACTTCTGTAACACTCAACCCCTTAAACATCACTCCCATCTGGGTCATTGCTCCAATTTAAGCCCTAAGGTCCTTCTCCCCCCACTCTGTGTGCCCTCGAACCTTGGTCTCCGGTGTGGGAGGGAGGCGCACTAACAAGGAGGCTAAAGACTACCAGTTAGCAACATACATACTGTATACATTGAATATGTACTGAAATTAATGTTATGATTTCACTTTCCTAACTTTAAAGGGATAGTTCACCCAAAAATGAAAATTAAGTCATTAATTAAGTCATTAACGTAAGACAGCCCAGAAAGTCATCGAAGAAAAATATATTCCATGTGACTACAGTGGCTCAGCTACAAGTTTATCAAGTGACGAGAATACTTTTTGTGCGAAAAAACAAACAAAAATAACGACTTTATTCGACTACTCCATTTCTTCCTTGTAGGCCTGAGACGAGAGTTCAAGAGATTTCCACGACGCATGTGCAAGAATTGCGATCTTCTTCAACTACTGCAGTTCAGTTCTCGCACATGACTAAATTTTCATTTTTGGTCGAACTAACCCTTTAAACGTCAGTCCAACTTTTAACTTTTCATTACTCTCTGATTTTAGGGAAAAGTTAGGGGTAGGGATGACAGGACTATTGTTCCAGGATCAACAAAATATGGTGATGATCCAGGATGTCTTACTTGGCAATATCACAGTGATCATGTAAAAATATCTGGGGGGTATTTTGGGCTAAAACCTCACATACACACTCACAAACAAACCTCATTTTACATCTTGTAAAAAGGACATTATATCACACCTTTAATCCTTATTCCACATTCTCTCTTACCCACTCTTACTAGCCAATCAGTGGAGTAGGAGTGATTTACAAGAAGTCAGTGATTGGCCAGTTGAGCCGTCGTTCACGCATCCGTAGCAACCGTGATAAGGAAACAAGCACGTTTGTTTCCTCGCTGACGTGAACGCGCTTCCGTGGGCATATCCTGCTGGCGCGCTGCTGCCTGAGAGCATTTCTAGAGCAACCGGACCGGACAACTCGCTAATTACATGGTCTCGACGTCCTGTAGAAATTAGGTAGGTTTTGCTTCGTTGACTTGATGATAACCGTTTTTCTGTAGGCTAAATCCACCTCATGTCCTGATGAAGAGTTGTTGCCGTAGCTGCAGGCTAACCGAGCTTTAGTAACACGAGCCTGCAAGAAGATACGTTTGAACCGATTCTTTTCATATGGACATTAAACCATAGACTTGTTTGTTTTGTTTTAATGCAGTTTGCTTTGCTACAAGGTAGTGGCTGATCCCTCATCAGCTGTAAGACAATGAAAGCTGTAAGTTATCTTAGCTAGTGAGTTTTGCTGCAGTTTCAGTGACAAAGCAACTGTCAAATAGGCTTTATGAACCATCAGTTCTGTACTGTATCACACACAAAAGCTTTTTTTGTACTTGCTTAAATTGTGTAAGTGTGTGACAACTGCTGTGTTACAGTGGTATAAGACCTATACTAGTAACTTACTAGTGCTGTGGGAAGCTGTCATCCTTGTTAAGGCAATTAAATTCTAGTTGATCCAGGGAGGATGACTTGCAAAACCTGTATGGAGAAATTATTACATTGCAATTGAACAGCAAAACAGAATTCTTGCGTGTAACAACATATACATCTTAATAAAAAAAAAATAATAATAATATAAGTATTAAGATATTACTGTTAAAAAATCCATATGTGACTGAACTATATAAGAGCAACTAAAAACTAAAATGTGATTAAGTTGTGGATTTTAATAAACACTTCCCTAAGTCAACCCACCTTTATTACTTTTATTATGTAGCACCTTATACAATACAACAGATTGTTTCAAAGCAGCTTTACAGTAATAAACAGGAAAATATCAGAATCAATGATGAAGAACTTTGCTGACATTATTCAGTTCCTTTTTGATTCAGCTAATTTCATCAAGTATGAAATTGGTTTAATTCAGCTATAACCAGCTTTACAGAAGACAATAGTATCATTATTCAGCTTGATTCAGTTCACTTTTGATTCACTAACATTGTTGTTGCAAAATTCAGCAAATTATAAACAAAGTTGATTCAGTTAAAAATCTTTCAGCTCAAATTTAGTTCTGATGCAGTTATATCCTGACATTTAACACGTGTGTCCAGTTTCAAAGGCACACACAGCTGCCGGGTATCTTCAGGTGTCTTCTCGTCTCCAAAGCCTGTCCCCTGCACTTGGCCATGGTGGATGTGAGCAAGTGGCCTCTCTTCACCCTCTTGAGTGCACAGGAGCTCGCCTCCATTCGACAGGCATGCATCTTTGGAGCAGCTGCTAATGAGGCCATCTACATCACCCACAGTGACGAAGTAAGCTGATGAAGAAACCGATAGTATCTGTGTGGGTCTCGGTGGTATAAGCTTACATGACCCGTTTCAGTATGGTTCGCAAAAGGATTCTGTACCTTTATATGAAAACTAATCTGAATGTCCTGGCACAGGTGTATGTGTTAGGTGTGAACTGCAGTAACTGTCTGGGCACTGGAGACAGTCAGAGCACCATCGTTCCTAAAAAGCTGGACAGTCTGAGTGGAAAGAAGCTGGTCAGTTTGAGCTATGGCAGTGGTCCTCATGTTCTGCTGGCCACAGACGGTGAGTACAAGTGTCAATACTTCTGTTCAATATCTAAATCTAGTTCTAGTGAAACGACTTGCTTGTCTCCAAATAAAGTTGTCAAGTAACATGGTTCTATCTAAAATTTTAACCACAGAAATGGGTATCATATGAATACACTTTTGTCGTATTCAAAGTCTGCTTGTCTCCTTACAGAGGGGGAGTTGTATGCATGGGGGCATAATGGATACAGTCAGTTGGGCAATGGGACGACCAATCAAGGTGTGTCTCCCGTTCTGGTGTCTGCTAACCTGCAGAACAAGAGGGTGACTGAGGTGGCCTGTGGTTCCCATCACTCTTTGGCTCTGACCCATGAGGGTGAGGTGAGGCTTGGGAACTCTTTTGGCAAAATGGCTTGGGAACTGCATGAGTATGGAAGCCCATTTCTTCCACATAAGGGAAAAAAAGTGCTTTGTTAAATCATAATGACATCAAAAGTGGAAATCGAGACAAGTGATTAAAGTTTTACCAAGGTATAATTTGGCATCATTTTGAATTATGAGATGCTAAGTCATAATTCTGAGAGAAAAGTAAAAAAATTGAATCTAACAATTATTAGATAGTGTCGAAATTATAAGATCTTGGTTGAAATTAAGCTTCTAAGTCAATTAAGAGAAAGTCAAAATTATTACATTCATTTTTTTTGTTATAATTATGACTTTTTATCTCATACTTGTTTCTTAATTGAATTTATCTTATAATTTTGACTTATCTCATAATTTCAACATGCCATAATTATGACTTTTTGTCTTAATTGAATTTATCTTATATTTTTGACTTTTTTATTTTAATGACTTATCTCATAATTTCAACATGCCATTATTATGACTTTTTATACCATAATTATTATGTGTTTTTTTTTAATTCATAAGAGACTGCAGATTTAACCTAATAGCGATTAGTCAGTGTGACCCATCTGTGGCACAAGATGAGTATATGTTGGTTGACAAGTTTATCTACAGTGCTTTCTGGAAAATAACTGTAAGTTGCACCAGCTCATTTAGAAAAATGTGAAATACCAGTAAATAAAATGTAATGTTTTCAGACATTATAAACATACACAATGAAATGCCCAGATTTATTGCCCAACTTATTGAAGCACAGACATGTCTCAAACTGGTGGCTTGCTGGGAATCAAATAGCATTGACTAAAATAGTTTAAGAATATAGGAATATCTTAACTTTGCTCTGTGTCACATGCTAATCCCATAATCCAAGCGAAATCCTTCCGGTTTATTTTGCGTATAACAATTTCCCTTTTATCAGTCTCTTTAGAAAGCACTGGGTTAAAAATGTAGGTTACATATTAAAGGGTATTAGATGGATTTGGGTTTGACAAACCCCTCTTCTCTCTCCCCATGTTTTGCAAGTCGAGTTAGCCGCTTAGCCTCGTCGTGCTCGCTGTAATGAGGAGCATGTGACCTTTTTCACTAAGCTGAGAGGGCTTTTGTTCTCAGTAGAACTACCAAGATCAGCTTGGGTGTAACAGTGTGTGTTTGTCTAGTAATAATTAATATTTAGCTTCATTAAATCTTTTAGATGTACGGTGAAATAGTATTTTCTATACCAATGTATTTTAAAACATTGCCAGCCATGTTCATAGACAGCCAGCTGGCGTTTTTATGAATGAATGTTTGTAATTTAATGTCCCTGCTAATTGTAAGTTGTCCTAGGTGTTTGCATGGGGCTACAACAACTGTGGTCAGGTGGGTTCAGGGTCCACTGCCAACCAGCCCACACCTCGTAAGGTGTCCAACTGCCTGCAGAACAAAGTGATGGTTAGTATAGCCTGTGGACAGACTTCATCCATGGCTGTGGCGGATAATGGTGAGGTAAGGGATGAAATTAACCATTCATACTGCATTGTTTGTGTAAGGACCCGACCTGATGCTTAAAACATTTAGTATGCAATGCATGTGTGTCATCTCACTGTAGCTATGTCGCTTGCTTGTTAGTAGTGAAATGTGTGTTGGTGTTTCAGGTTTACGGCTGGGGTTACAATGGTAATGGCCAGCTGGGGTTGGGGAACAATGGGAACCAGCTGACTCCGTGTCGTCTGATTGCTCTACAAGGCCTCTGTGTGCTGCAGGTATGGACCATTAAACAGATTGTCCGCTGTATATGTAATATACACTACTGTCATAACCACTCTTACTAAAGCCAAACCACTAAACGTTTGGGTTTAGTAAGAGTTTTTTTTAATGAAATAATAACTTTTAATTGAACAATGCTGCATACATTTGATTAAAAGTTTCAGTGAAGACTAGCCTGGGTTTCCAATGAGACATGGTCTGACGTTAGCCAGGCTAAGTGAAGATATTTATAATATTACAAAAGATTGATCTTTCAAAAAAAAAATCCTGTTCTTCAAACTTTCTATTCATTAAAAAATCCAGCAAACCATTTTTTTAAGGAGCACAACTGTTTTCAACATTGATCATAAGCAATGTATCTTGAGCACTATAACAGCATATTAGAATGACTTCTGAAGGATCATGTGACACTTCAGAATGGAGTAATGATGCTGAAAATTCATATTAAAATAGAAAATGGCTTTTTTAATTTGTAATGTTTTTTCACAATATTACTTGATTTTTTGTTTTACTGTATTTTTCAAAAAATAAATGCAGCCTTGGCAAGCATAAGATACTTCTTTCAAAAACATAAAAAAGTTTTTCTATGTTTTTCTATTTTTTTTCTAGTTTTTCTATTGATTTTTCTAAGAATTGGCAACAATAAAGCAAGCATTGTTATTCTGCACAACCCATGTGATTATACAGTAAAATATGTTCCTGTGTGACTTTGACAGATTGCCTCAGGTTACGCTCATTCTCTAGCACTGACTGATGAGGGCCTGCTGTATGCATGGGGTGCAAACACCTACGGCCAGCTGGGCACCGGCAACAAGAGCAACCAGCTCAGCCCTGTTCAGGTCATGACTGAGAAAGAAAGGTAATGGAGTTTGGGAATATTTTTTTTTATTACCTAGTACTAGGGCTGGGTAATAAATATCGATTTCTCGATATTAATCGATTCTCATTTTTACGAACTGATATCGATTCTTAAATCTCAAGAATCGATTAGTCATCCTGTTTTCATTTGAATGGATGGGACATTGTATCGCAGCTGCGCGCATCCAAAAACTCGCATTAATCTTTGTCCTTTGTTACTATTGATATGAAACAAAGTCTCAAATTTCAAATTACATCCATTTTCTTTAGAAATTCAAAAACATAAATAACGTTTTGGCGCTGTGGCGTGAGATCGCTCTGGCGCAGCTCAAGAGAAGCAGCAGCGCTGATCTCTCTTCCGGTGTTCTGTCGATTTTTGCTGCCTTGTCGAAAAATGCTACCGAATTGATCACAGAATGCCGATTAAAGTCGTATGAAATACAATTCTAATACAATTCTAAGTTATGAGTAGCTACTGTATACTGTAGACTACTGTTTTTATTTTTAAAACGGTGTGAAAAGTAAAAATTATCATAAAATATTCATCTTTGACTTGTCAAAGTACACCTTTTCTTATAGTAACTGAAACTTTCAGTTATTCCTTTTCAGCTGGCTGACCGTACAAATATTCATATGCTAGTAAGCATTTTTTAAAGGGAAATTATACATTATAACAGGAAAATGTACCTTTTGTAAAAAAAAAAAAAAAAAAAAACTGTGAGTCTGCACATGCGCATAACCGGTAAGTAGGAAATCTCGATGGGTAGCATGAATTGTCAGAACACCGTCTTAATAATACAAGTTACAGCGCGAAATAAACATGAATGAGCATCTGAAAGTGTGTTAAAAGATAGAGTACAACTTATCGAAATCCGTATCATGTCATATTGATTCGCTCAATCAGCGTTTCAACCGTTGAAAGACGTCAGTTAAACAGCTTGTAATCAATGTCATGTATCGTCATATTTACCTCAGAAAACCCACATCAACTCGTTAGTCAGCTAGAAAAAATAACTCCAGAGAGGAGCATTTTGCTAAATATATACAACATATTACATATGCATTATAATCTTAATGTTCTTCAATATTTAATAATATTTGAATAAATCTGGCAAGTTTTTATGACAGCCACCATTTAAATGTTTACATTTCATATAATCTTCTTATTATAAAAATAAATAAAAGTGTAATTTAAGTGTTTGTATAGCTACAAAACAGTTCCTTATTACTTTCATATTAGGCTAATGAAGCCTATAGGCTACAACTAGACTCCCATAGTTTACAGCATTAGTTAGGATATTTGATTTCCTTGAGAAAATTTGCCATTTATTGTAAGTGATATCCAAAATAATCAATATTGAATCAAATCGAATCGAAATCGATTCGAATTGTGAAATTTGTGTCAATACCCAGCCCTATTACCTACCTACAGTACTTGCAGTACTTGGTCACTCACTGACTCCCAAAACAGTATAGCCTTTTTTGAAGGGATAGTCCACCCAAAAATGTACTTTTATGAATTTATTTCTCCTGTTGAACACAAAAGAAGATATTTTGAAGAGTGTTGGTAACCAGACAGTTGATGAACCCCATGAACTTACAAAACAAAATGAATACAACTAAAATAAAAAGTAATTTAAATTATTATTAAATAATATAAAAGTATATTTAATTATACTAAAACAGCACTTCTTAAATCCAATGAACTGCCTGAATCCTAACCTATATGGATCCTATGACTGATTTTGGAACAGCAACTCCCTCCTAATAGTTTCTCCTCCACATCACACACACACGCAGACACACACACGCTTATTTTTAATTTCAGAAGAGTTTGGCCCTAGCATGTTGCTAAGCAAGCAATCCTTTCAAGCTTTATAATGGGAGTGAATGGCTCTCCTGATTTTGAAATCCCAAAAAGTGCATCCCTCCATCCATCATGAAAGTACTTCATACAACTCTATATTTAAAATGTTAAAATAGCTAGCTTCTGGCAGATGACTCACTCAAGAGCTCACAGTAAAGAGCTCATGTTGGTGAAAGCTGCATGATGTTGACATTTGCATTCAGTCAGCGCCATTGTTGGTCCCAATTGTTGCATCCCAGGGAGATTTCCTGTTGGTCTGGTGGGAACTTCCTGAAAGTCATCCTGTTTTGAGTGTAGTATGAGGATCGGCTCTCTCGTACCCTCGCTGTGAGGTCACTGCAGTTATTTTACTTTGCAGAATATGCATAATAATGGCACTAACAACCCAGTAATCTCTAATGTTGGGAGAATAAGACTCTGCCCTTCTCTTGGTTCTTTCCCCTTTGTGCCCTCTCTTCCTGCATGTATCCTTCCTCGTGTCCCTGCTCTCCTCCACCTTGGCCTTCTCCATTGCTTCCTGCTTTTTGACTCCACCTCTTCCCTGAATCCCTGCACCAGGATTGTGGAGATCGCCGCCTGTCACTCCACACACACCTCTGCAGCGAAGACCCAGAGCGGTCAGGTGTACATGTGGGGGCAGTGCCGCGGACAGCCCATCGTGCTGCCACACCTCACACACTTCACCAGCACGGACGACGTCTTCGCCTGCTTCGCCACGCCCTCTGTCATGTGGCGGCTGCTTGCCATGGGTGAGTTTGTGTCGGACTTGGCATCCATCATCACTTTGGCTGCTGTGTTGTTTGAATCTTAAAGGGATACTCCACTTTTTTTTGGAAATAGGCTCATTTTACAACTCTCTCAGAGTTAAACAGTTGAGTTTTATCTTTTTCGAATCCATTCAGCCGATTTTCTGATATTTAGAAGAATATCAGTAACCAGACAGTTTTTGGTCCCATTGACTTCCATAGTTGGAAAAAATATATACTATGGAAGTCAATGGGACTGGGACCAGAACTAGATATTCTTTATTGTAAAATGAGCCTATTTCCCCAAAAAAGTGTAGTATCCCTTTAATGCATTCATACTGATGTGCATTCAAACCGATTCTACAGTGTCTGCTGTTACATAACTGTGTTTTATTTGTTATCAGAGCATGATGATTTCCTGACTGTGGCCCAGTCTCTTAAAAAAGAGTTTGACAATCCAGAGACCTCTGACCTCAAATTCAGCATCGACGGAAAGTACATCCATGTCCATAAAGCTGTTCTCAAAATCAGGTGATTACCTCGCTTCAGTGTCATGACTAATAATTGGTATATTCAAGAGCCTAATGATCACTTGCTCCTCTTTAATCCTTTAATCTCCGACTCATTTCAGGTGTGAGCACTTCAGATCAATGTTTCAGTCACACTGGAATGAGGATATGAAGGAGGTGATCGAGATCGACCAGTTCTCGTACCCAGTGTACCGCTCTTTCCTGGAGTTCCTCTACACTGACAGTGTGGATCTTCCTCCTGAGGATGCCATCGGTGGGTTCTGCTCCATTTTCACACTGGTTTACAGGCAAATACTCATAGATGAGTAAAAGAAACCAATAACCACTCTTTTTGGGGATTTTTCGAACACCCCTTTAAATGGGCCAAAACTAAACCAGGGGGGAAAAACATGGCCTTACTGTGGACTCATCTCACTTTGGTCCATTTTTGCTGCCAAGTTGCAGTCCACTTTCCGTTCACACTATTGTTTTTTGGAATATAAATCACTAGCCTTTTATATAGCCGTAAATTAATGATGACTTATAATGATTCTTGTAGTAGTAGAGATAATAATACTTAATTATTATTATTAGTAGTAGTAGTAGAAGCAGCAATAGTATTTTTTTTAATAATAATATAATTATTATTTACAACAACAATAATAATAACTGCTAATTATGCACTATTGTTATTAATGTGTTGTGTAAATGATTATAATATTGTACATAATAATAATCATATTAACTAATGATGTGTTATTTAAAATGATTAACACTGATACACAACTTATATTAATTTAACATTGTTTTTGTAAATAGTTCTTATATTATTGTAAATAATAAATGATAATAATTATAACTGGTTATGTTCTTTATTATTAAAAACAATAAAACCACAATAAAATGTTTAAGTCACCATTAAATCAAAATTGACAATTACATTTTTTTTTACAGAATGTTGCAGTGTTTATTCTAAAAGATTTATCCATGAAAATTATTTCTTTGAAATCCAGATGTCCTGACGGCTAACTGGCATTCATTTAGAAATTGGATTTCCACGATCCAATCAATTCCCGAAGGATGAATCCATTCCCGCCCTACATTTGTGTCTTTCCTAAAGCCATTTCACTTGGCTATATATCGTTTCATGCCAACTTTAAGTATTAGTAATCTAGTACAGTATGCTTCTGTATATTTTGTATGCACTGTAACTTGCAACAATGAAATATATTTGAATGGAAAGGGCCGTACACACCAGGGCGAATATCGGCGCATGTTATTCACCAGCGTTTTTCAACGCGATTTTCGCTGACGATGAGCCGAGTGAACATGCAAATTCATTCCCTGACATTAGATGGCGCCCATTTGCTCTGCAATACCACTCCATAACAGTTCTCCTTTTTAAGATGTTTGTACTCGCTGTCGCGTTTGTCATATAGTTATTTATGTTCTAACACCAACGAGACCAGCAGCTCTACATTCATCTTGCCTCGCATTTTCCTCGTCTTATTTCTTCCTGGCAATGTAGACGGCGACGCTACTCGGCGTATATTTTCTTCGCCGTTACGTATGTGTGCTCTGCAAGACCGTTTTGTGTTTGAGCGCCCCCAGGTTGTGTTTTACTATAACTGCAGAAGCTCCAAATACGTGAGCAAAAGCGCCAATCTCATTGGTCGGATAGTTTTTGACGCGGCGCATCAAACTAAAAAAAAAAAAACGAACCCGAGGCGTTTTTACAAAAATGACGCTTTTACTCATGCCGTTTACCGTGTCGGTGTGCACACTCAGTTTAGTCACGAGGTGTTAATTCGTCCTGGTGTGAACAGGCCTTAAAGGAGAACTCCGGCGAACAATGAACCTTTGGTCTAATAAAACATCGGTACCTAGTAAATCGTTCTCTGAGATTTGTTTTCATGATAATCGAATGTAAAGAGTTTTATCTCTAAAAACTGTTTAGCGTATAATGCTAGTAATGGGGGCATATAATAAGTAAAAAGAAATCGCTAGTTTATACCACTAACAAGGCTCAAAATAGCCCCACACTAACACAGTAACATAATGAGGCTCCATACATGCAAAACGAAGCATTGAGAACTTTGTAAGTGTACAGACCGTTTAATAAGAAGATACTTTATGAAGACAGTTCACTTCGCGTATACAGACAGGAGCCATCTTAAAAAATAGTCTCTAAGTCGATCCCCGAACTCCGCTCATACAGTTCAGAAGTTCGCTGAACTTCATACAGTTCTGATCACTCAGCACGACGTTCTTGGTTTGACTTATCGAGACTATTTTTTAAGATGGCTCCTGTCTGTATACGCGAAGTGAACTGTCTTCATAAAGTATCTTCTTATTAAACGGTCTGTACACTTACAAAGTTCTCAATGCTTCGTTTTGCATGTATGGATCCTCATTATGTTACTGTGTTAGTGTGGGGCTATTTTGAGCCTTGTTAGTGGTATAAACTAGCGATTTCTTTTTACTTATTATATGCCCCCATTACTAGCATTATACGCTAAACAGTTTTTAGAGATAAAACTCTTTACATTCGATTATCATGAAAACAAATCTCAGAGAACGATTTACTAGGTACCGATGTTTTATTAGACCAAAGGTTCATTGTTCGCCGGAGTTCTCCTTTAAGTCAACCTTACATTCACAATAGATGTTATAAAACAACGCAGAATTCAGAAAGGTCAAAGCATTTGTTGTAGCCATTAAAAAAAAAGAATGGATTTGGCTGTCTGTCACAGGGTTACTGGATCTGGCAACCTCATACTGTGAAAACAGGCTGAAGAAGTTGTGCCAGCATATCATAAAGAGAGGCATCACGGTGGAGAACGCCTTCTCTCTGCTGTCTGCTGCCATCAGATATGATGCTGAGGTAAAACAAAACCATCCTGGAAGCCTGGCGTACTAGTGCACCCGGTTTACCAGACTATTAGCTCTTCTCGGCCTCATTTGATTTGCTAGTTTAGCAAGTACAATTTTTTTATAAGGTAATACAGAACATCAATACTGTAAGCTAATGATAATCATAGATGGTGATATTGATTGTTCTTGCTTGCCTGTTCAGTCCCTCATAATTAAACATTCATGCTTTCTTTCATATGAAGGATCTAGAGGAGTTCTGTTTTAAATTCTGTGTGAACCACTTGACTGAGGTCACGCAGACAGCTGCGTTCTGGCAGATCGACGGCAACATGCTGAAGGAGTTTATCTGCAGAGCCAGCCACTGTGGAGCCTTCAAAAACTGACTCTGACGTCCACACACACACACACACACACACACAACCCGTCTGTTACTGCAGTCAGTCCTCTTCACAGCTAGGGGGCGCTGTTACAGCTGACGCTCACTGATACAGCGCCCTCTGTTGAGCACGAGAGAAACTCTTATGATGGTCAATGTCTGTGTTTATCTCATTCTCATGGACAACCATTTCACATTTAGGTTTTGCACAACTTTTTGGGAATGACGTGTTGCCTGCTACTAGTAACAAATCCTAGTGCCTCTCATGAGAATAGCGTTTGCATAATAAAGTCAGGGTGAGTTTGGGCATAATTCCACTTAAACATGCACCACTTAAAAACAGACCTTATACTTTTTCACAGAAAATATTCATTAATTAGTTTTTGGTTTCTTGCTGTGATGCAGTGCATTACAGTTTGCTCATTTTGTATTATTATTATTGTATTAGATTGTGTTGTACTGGCTGGGATCTGTAAATGTGCATTATATTGTCCCGCAGTCAGCAGACCTTATTGATATTGCACACTCACTCATGTTTGTGTAAATGATATTTGACCAAAATATTTTCCGCTTATTTTTGCTTAATTTGAGTTTTGACCTGGGCAACCTGGGTTTGCTATCGCTTAGTTTAGAAACTGTTGGTGCTGTGAATTACAGTAGCAGCATTTTACAACAACGACTGTTGCACTTAACCAGTCTGATGTTTAAGATTTGCTAAACATATAAAAAGTATTATACATAGTTGCACTAGTAGTTTCCTATACAGGAGCTACTCATATACAATCACTATAGAGGGTTTGTATCAACTTTTGTTATAGGTGTGAAACACTTACATAATACTAATGCCTGTGGTAATTTTGTTTGTTACATATTAACCAACTGTATTTTTGTTTTTCACATGTACATACTGTACAGTTTTTGCATTAGTTTTGTAAATTAATCTGTGCGCATCATGTGTGCCACAGCCTCTCTTGTAAGTTATAAAACCTGAACCTTTAAAGTAAATAAAGCTTTTCTTATAAGTTGAATTTGTTTTTTATTTGTGTGTTTAAATGTGCGGCAGCATATTTATTTATTGGAGATGTATCTCGTAGCCCTCAGACCGTATTCACTTATAGGCCTTAATCCTGTAATTGTGGACAAATGTGGGAACAGAGGACTCAGATGTGATCCTAATGTTTATTTATTATAAATGTTTTATCACTGTCTTCGATAAAGTTTTTTCTATTCATTTATGGTGTTTTTATTTTTATTTTGGGGATATTTTTGAATTTATTTACTTCAAAAAGTGCTATATTTTCTATGTAAATTATGCTTATTTTTATGTTTTATTTTATTTATTTTTTAACTACGTTAAAATATCATTCCAATAAGATCTTAGAGCTAAAACCTAAAGATGAAGTGACTTTGCTGTCACCTGGTGTCTTATTTTGGCTTTTTTTTTAGAATGCACTAAATTCATTCATTTCTATGGGTGCCCATTTGTGACACGAGATTAAGGAGTTTTTTTTACACCCACTTAACATTGTAGAATTGAGTCACAAAAAAAAAGTGTGTGTTCAGCAGGCAAACTTTAAAGTAGCCAAGTCTTGTACTTCTCAGATCAAGGGAAGTATTTTTTTAAAATAAATCAAAACTATTTTGCCCACATTTGTCCAGAATACGGTTTTAGGGTTAGGATTGTGTTATATGAAAACATTATGGTTGATTTCATCACAGTTTTAATTGGAGAGATTTATTATTAGAATTACACATTTATTTACTTTTAGGATAAATTATATATTTTTTTCATTTTATTATTTTAATATTTTTATCATATTTTAATAATATGATATAAATGATGCTATTATAATTCTAGAAGGCATCCTGTAGTTTCATTTCTCATTAAATGAAATGTTAATTTCCAGAATAGTTAAATCCTTGTTTGGGTAGGCTATTAAAGTCTGTTAAAAGAAAGTAATGACTGATACTCATTCTATGAAATGATTAATTGTTCAGAAATGATGTAGATGCACAAACCCTATTGACAGATTGACTAATTATTTAGCAGGTGTGTGAAACCCAACCTACAGTCATGCATTCTTGTATTTTTAACAGAAAGATGGAGAGTCTCAGTGCCATTGTTACGGGATCAGTGGAAGAGTGAGTCTGATGTGGAAGAATCTGACCGGTTTGTCCAGATCTGAACCCCATTGAAGACTTTTGGAGAAACAAATCTCCATCAACATCACTGATGCCCTTGTGACTGAATTGGAGGAAATCCCTGCATCCATGATGTTCAAGCTGTTAGATAAGCTAAGACCAACTTCATATTAATGTCAAAGTTTGTGAAATATGTACTTCGGCCACATTGGGTGTGTTATCTTTGAGTCTCCACACACACTGTTGGTCACGGTTTCTGCGAAATAGAAACAGGCGAGCCTTTAAGACAAGAAGCCCCGCCCACCTGTGACGTCAGCACAAATAGGAAGATGACAGGATGAAGGCCGACGGGCTGTTGTCGTTTGGGACAGTTTAGTCAAAGACAGGTCAATGTTGATCGCGATTGAATGGCAGCATCGGACAGTCGGTGGCCTTGTCGGGATGGCGAGGGGAACAGATCTATTCCAAGTGTGAGGGAGACCGGAGTACAGACGGATGCTAAAGTACAAGGTGAGATTAACATGTCAATGTCTTCCTGTGCTAACCACCAGATCCCAGAGGATATTTAACTTTAAACTGCTGCGTGTTGCCAATGCTGTTTCATTTCATCTTTCAATAGGCTATGTTCTTTCAGTTTTGCCATTGAGACATTTACATTTTGACCTTTGCCCCGGCTATTATCTATTTCTATATTTCCTCGTTTAATGTCCATGTCAGCAACTTCATATCAAGAGCAGTCTGATAACATAAAATCTGTTCGAATTCGAATTCTGAATCAGATTCTATATATACTTGCAGAACCGAAATGTTTCTTGTTCTCTTTTTGACACAACTAAAGAAAAAACAGCCTACAATAAAAATATTGCTTATTAGAGATAAAACGATATATAATGGCGTTACTACTACTTCTTCTAGCCTACTAATAATCATAATAAAATTAATAAAATATTCATATTTTGCTCGTCTAATGATTTTGTGCTTATTTTGTCGAATAGAGTTAAAGGAGTAGTTCAGTTTTCAAAAAACTTTTGCTGATAATTTACTCACCCCCGTCATCCATCATTCTTTCTTCAGTCAAAAACAAATTAAGGTTTTTGACGAAAACATTCCAGGATTTTTCTCCATATAATGGACTTCAATGGGAACCAAACGGTTCAAGGTCCAAAAGACAGTTTCAGTGCAAACTGTTCAAAGGGCTTTAAACGACTCCAGACGATGAATAAGGGTCTTATTAAGTGAAACGATCGCTCATTTAATAAATAAATAACAAAGTTTAAGTTTTATGAGCTCAAATGCTCAACTTGCTCTGTTATGTGTGACTCTCCTGTTCGAACTCGTTCATCAAAATGAACAAATCTTTTTCCGAGTCATTTGATTCGTTCAACAAACGAAACGAACGAATTGACTGGATTGACTGTTGTGACAGGAGAGTCACAAACGTGCGTCACAGAACAGAGCAAGGCGAGCATTTGAGCTTATAAAACTTAAACTTTTTTTAAAAAATGACAGATCGTTTCACAAGATAAGATTATTCATCGTCTGGTGTCGTTTAAAACCCTTTGAAGCTGTACTGAAACTCTCATTTGGACCTTGAACTGTTTGGTTCCCATTGAAGTCCATTATATGGAGAAAATCCTGGAATGTTTTCATCAAAAACCTTAATTTCTTTTTGACTGAAGAAAGAAAGACATGGACATCTTGGATGACATGGGGGCGAGTAAATTATCAGCAAAAGTTTTTTGATAAGTGAACTACTCCTTTAAGTTTAAAATGCACACTGTGTTCTAACCAATTATCAATCTCTATTTACATGTCAAACTATCTCTCTTTACACGTCCCTCTCATAGCACTGAACTGGTTATTTTAGTAGTTAAGCAAATGTTTTTAGTTTTGTCACTGGTCTTTTTCACATGACTCCTTTTCTCTGTTTCAGGTCAGGAACCTCGACTGTCCAAAGCCAACCTCTTCACATTATTGAGTCTATGGATGGAACTTTTCCCCAAGAAAGAAGCACGTCAGCGAGAAAATGATTCTGTAGGCATATTTTAATTCTCTCTAAAGTGATGCGGTGTGTTTCAAAGACAGAGAGCTTACATTTAAAGACATTTGAAATGCATTTAGGAAGGAGAATGTGTTACAGGTATCTATGCACCAGTGTAAAATGTCTGATTCGTATTTATTTCTGGGAAAAAAGCCTTCTATACAGTACTGAGAATTATTATTGGAAAGCTGATTCCCACAGGACCGAGTCTCTGCTGTGGATATTATGACTCGTGCGCTCTGAAGGAGATGCCTCAGTATCTACTTGTTTTATTTATTTGTTTCTTTCATTAAAAAGCACGGTGTTGTATTTGCGTCCAGGCTGGAGACAGTGGTCTTGTGGTGGTCCATGAGCGCAGGGTCCTGGGTCTGCATTGCTCCAGTGTGCAGTTGCATGCAGGACAGGTGGCTGTGGTCAAACACGGACCCCGACTGAAGGGATGTGATCTCTACTTCTCCAGAAAACCCTGTTCAACCTGCCTCAAGATGCTCATCAATGGCAAGATTAGAACTGCTCTCTCTCTCTCTCTCTAATATATGTACACATTGTTGCTCAATAGTTTGGATTCAATAGTTTGGATTTGCTCACAGTCCGTATTTAAAAGCTGTAATAATGTTTATAATAATGTAATAATGCTTTTATCAAAAAGTAGCGATTATTTTTGAAAAAATAGCTATTCTTATAAAAGTAGCGATTCCTTTTTAAAAAGTAGCAATACTTTTTGAAAATAGTGTAAAAAATTTAATTATACATGTTACAGTCTTATAAGTTTATTACAATGTAATTACACATTTATTACAGTGTTATTATACATTTGTTACATTATTTTTGAAAAACTTCACCCAGCCATTGAGGTGAGAGCGATGAACCCATCGTATGTCAGACACTAAAAAATGTAATACATTTGTTACGGTCTTATACATTACAATGTAGTTATACATTTATTATATTGTTATTATACATTTATTACAATGTAATCAGACATCAGTGTTATTATACGTTTCTTACAATGTTTTTATACATTTATTAGTGTTATTTTACATTTGTTACATTATTATTATTATACATTTGTAACATTATTCTTTGTGAAAAATATTAGAGATTTTTTTTTAAAAGTAGCGATTCTTTTTGAAAAAAAGTAGTGTAAAAATTGAAATATACAATTATTACAATGTCATTATACATTATTTTCAGTGTTATTATACATTTATTACTATGTAATTATACATTTTTAGTGTTATTTTACATTTGTCACATTATTATTATTATACATTTGTAACATTATTATTTTGTTACATTATTCTTTTTGAAAAAGTAACGATTTTTTTTAAAGTAGCGATTCTTTTGTAAAAAAGTAGCGTTTTTTAACATTAGTAATTGCACTAAATGTTTAAAGTCATCATATCTGATGCTGAAAATTCAGCTTTCCATCACAGGAATAAAATCTTAAAAATGTATTCAAATGATTATATAGCATTGTTATTGTAATGGCATTTCATAATATTACTTAATTTAATATTTATTTAATTATTATCATTTAATATTTAATATTTAACTATATTTGTCATCAAATAAATTCAACCTTTCTGAGCATAAGAGACTTCTTTCAAAAACATAAAAAAATAATTATTCCAAACTTTTGACCACCACCAGCGTATCATACTTTATTTATTAACTTTATATAGTTTTATATTTAATTGTCTATCTCAACCCTCATTGCCTTTCATATCCTTTGTTCAGCTGGTGTGAACAGGATATCTTACTGGCCCGGTGATGCTGAGATGGGCTTGCTGTCAGGTAGACGTGATCCCGCAGACTCCAGTCACCAGGAAGCCATCCTCGACGCCACAGCGGCAGAGCGACTCAAGTCCAACAGCAGGCCGCACATCTGTGTGCTCCTGCAACCTCTGGACAGCACCATGCTGCAGTTCGTGGACCACACTTCCCAAAACTGCGACTTCCTTGGGAAGATTGCGGCGGACAATCCAGCGCTGGATGTTGCGGATGTCTTTAGAAAGGAATGGTGGAAGAACTCAGACGATTTCTTGGAAAAGTTCTTTATAAATGACGAAGAACAGCATATGTATGTGCTGAACAAGATGGGACTGGAGAACTTTTGTGTGGAACCAAATTTTAGCAACTTAAGGCAGCATATGAGGAATCTCATTCGGATTCTCGCGTCTGTGGCCGCTAGTGTTCCGGTTCTACAAGACGATTATGGGTTCTTCATGAGAGAGCCTTTAGGGACAGGTTCTCCAGCTTTACCTCAGGATGTGATACGGCACTGTGTCATACAAGCCCGGTTATTGGCGTGTAGAACAGGTGAATTCAGTTTGATTACATCCAAGATGTCCATGTCTTTCTTTCTTCAGTCGAAAAGATATTAAGGTTTTTGATTAAAACATTATAGGATTTTCTCCATATAATGGACTACAATGGGAACCAAACGGTTCAAGGTCCAAAAGACAGTTTCAGTGCAGCTTCAAATCGCTTTAAACGATACCAGACGAGTAAGGGTTTTATCTAGTAAAACGATCACTCATTTAAAAAATAAATAACAAATTTTAATTTTTATGAGCTCAAATGCTCGCCTTGCTCTGTTCTGTGATGCGCGTTTGTGACTCCTGTTCGAACTCGTTCATCAAAATGAACGAATCTTTTCCCGAGTCAACTCGTTCATTTCGTTCGTTGAATGAACCAAATGACACGAAAAAAGATTCGTTCATTTTGATAAACGAGTTCGAACAGGAGAGTCACAAACGCGCATCAAAAACAGAGCAAGGCGAACATTTGAGCTTATAAAACTTAAACTTTGTTAATATTTTTTTAAATGAGCGATCGTTTCGCTTGATAAGACCCTTATTCATCGTCTGGAATCTTTTAAAGCCCTTTGAATAGTTTGTACTGAAACTGTCACCATTTATTTTTGTGTAGAGGATCCTAAAGTGGGAGTTGGTGCAGTGATCTGGGCAGAGGGAAAACAGGTGAGTAAAAAAAAAAAAAAAAAACGCAATGAAAACGTGACTTTATGATTGTGTGTATTTTAATAAACACCTCTCCGCTTGCAGTCACAATGCGATGGCACGGGTCGGCTTTACCTAGTGGGCTGTGGATACAACGCATATCCAGTGGGCTCACAGTACGCAGAGTACCCTCAGATGGATCACAAGCAGAAAGAGAGACAGAACAGGAAGTACCGGTACATCCTCCATGCGGAGCAGAACGCGCTCACATTCAGGTGAGGCTCATGGGAAGAAGGGGTCAGGAATGTTGGCAACAAGAAAAAGAGGTGCAGTCACTTTTACCAAACCCAGTCATTCCAATAGGGTTCGCAGATTTCGCTCATTTTCAAGTTTCAGCTTGATTTAATCGACTTCTGTGCTTCTACACTATTGACAGAGGGCAATAGACCTTTTTTTGCACTAATCTGAATGCATCTCTCATGGTTGAGATGTGCTTTTACTATTATCAAGCCATTCAAACTCGTTCATGATTTGTTCATTTCTTCCCACCTTCCACTTTTATTTCCCTCCGATCTGCAGGAGTGCAGAGATAAAGGAAGAGGAGAACACAATGATGTTTGTGACCAAATGCCCGTGTGACGAGTGTGTTCCTCTGATTGGCTGTGCTGGAATAAAGCAGATCTACACTACAGACCTGGACAGCAACAAAGTCAAACACGACATCTCCTACCTCAGGTTCGACAAACTCAACGGCGTCCAGAAGTTCATTGTGAGTGCTGCTGAGATTTTTTTTTTTTTTATCGCACAAAAAAATTGGCTCTTTTTTTTTAACAATTAATATATTTTTTCAGTGGCAACAGAAATCTGCTAGACATACTTCAGAACAAGCTGCTCTGCCTACAGCAAGTAAGTGTTTTGGGTCGTTTACACGACGCCGTTTTCAACTAAAAACAGAAAGCGTATGCGTTTTGACCGTTCATTTACACGACAACTGTGTTTTGGTGGCCTGAAAACACAAACTTTTGAAACTATAGAGGGAATGCATTGACGTCACTTTCCCGCCGGAACAACCCCCCTCAGCCTGACTGAGTGGTAAAAGATCTGCTGCGTGACTGGATTTATTAACCTGCAAAAATGTGACTAAAGGCGTGTTCACACCGGGACGAATTTCGCGCGTGATATTCGTCGACGTTTAACGCCGTTAACGTTAAACAATGGGCGCCAATGTGAGTGTTCACACCGACGCGAAAAACGCCACGTGTAAAAGCGTAATTTTTAAAAAAAACGCCTCTGGTTCGTTTTTTTGGTTTGACGCCCTGCGTCAAAACCTATCCGACCAACGATATTGGCGGGTTTGCTCACGTGTCTGGTACTTCTGAAGTTACAGTAAACACAACTTGGGGGCGTTCAAACACAAAACGGTCTTGCCGAGCACACATACGGCGAAGAAGAGATCCTACAAGGCAAGATACCTATGGGCAAGATGAATGTTGAGCTGCTGGTCTCGGAGCATTTGCTATAATATGATGATATTTATATTAGTATTTCTGTAATAATAGTATAGGGTGACCAACAGTCCTGTTTTCCCGCGACATGTGTAAAACGATCACTTCGTGCTTTATAGAAATCTTAGTTGAGATGAGAACTGCGCATAGTGTCAGTTAGATTTTGACAAGTGTTAAGTAAGTAAGTAAGGAGATAACCGCTCTGCCGACTCTTTTGTATTCTTTCTTTTATTTTATTTTTCTATTGTGACCAGATGTTTGTTTGTTTGTTTTTTCTCACTCGATCCCCATGTATGAGGACGAGTGTAACGGTTGAGTGGTTTTATTAAACGTGGAGAAATACGACAACTCTCGTCTCTCGTGCATCTGTTCATCCGACAACTAGTGCTATGTTTTTATCTCTGGGCAACATCTCAACTTTGCGTTACACATGTCCTGTTTCCACGTCCTGTCCTGGCTGTTTTTAAGTGATGAAAATGTCCTGGTTTTCAAAAAAAAAAACTGCTGGGAAAGATCAGTTCTACAGCAAAATATAGATGGACAAACAAGGTGGATGAGGAAGAAAAAAAGGATAAAGAGGATTGAAAACTAAAGATATAAATAGATTTTGTTAGTTCGTTTTTGTAAGTTTGTGAGAGCTATTTTTTGTTACATTTGGAGGCATTTCTTTTAGTTATTTATTATTTATATATTTATTTTTCTAATACAGAAGACATTATTTCTATCATTTCATTCGTTTTTTTTTTAATCTGTCATAATAAAACATTGAGACATGAATATGATCACCCTAGTATATTCTATTATTATTTCTGTTTTACATTAAGCGCCATCTAATGTCAGGGAATGAATTTGCATGTTCACTCAGGTCATCGTCAGCGAAAAACGCTTGGGTGTGAACACAAAAAACGCGTTGAAAAACGCTGACGAATAACGCGCGCTGATATTCGTCCCGGTGTGTACGGGCCTTAAAACGGACAATTTTATCAATTTAAGCTAAATGTTGGACTCTAGGGCTGGGTAAAAATATTGATTCATCAATCCTATGAATCGATTCAGCCATCCAGGCCAGTGGCGGCACTGTGGGCTACACTCTAGTGGGAGCGTTCAGCGTAGTACAAGTCGTGCTTTAGCACTTGTGTGCTAAAGCGTGGTATCTGATGCACATGTACAGTTAGGACAGGTATCTGACATGAAACCCCTGTAAACACACACACACACACACACACAGGTATCTGATGCACATGTATTTTGATATATTTGTTTTGATACATATTGATATATTTATAATGGCATAAATGCTACGTGGGATATCAATATCTCAGCTCTGGAAGGGTCTAGAGCCTCCATTTTTGCACTCAGGTCTAAGTCCCGTGGCCCTCTATCAGAATCCAGAGTTTCAAGAAGATTGGAGAAACTTATTTTTTCGCACAAAAAAAAAAAAACGACAGGGGTAACACTGTCGTTTTTTTTTTTTTGGGTCGAAATTTTGAGTTTCTCTGATCTTCTTGAAACTCTGGATTCTGATAGAGGGCCACGGGACTTAGACCTGAGTGCAAAAATGGAGGCTCTAGACCCTTCCAGAGCTGAGATATTGATATCCCACGTAGCATTTATGCCATTATAAATATATCAATATCTCAGCTCTGCAAGGGTTCAGAGCAGGGGTGGGCAAACTTTTTGGCTCAAGGGCCACACTGGATTTTAAAATTTGACAGAGTGCCGGCCCAGTGGCAGATTATAACACATAGTTACTTTCTCTCCCCACAGCACTTGCTCGCGCTCACACAATTAATTCAGAATATTTCAAAAATAAATAAAACAGAACTCTTCCCGCTGGATACAGCTTCTCAGGTCACAAATGCAGCAACACTCTTTCCACTGAATACAGCTTGCAGCCCAGCGTTTTCTCTCTCTCGACAGCGCGTGCACAAGCTCCCAGTCTCTCTCTCCCCACTCTGTCAGCACGGCACCCCTTTCGCTTTTTTTCGTTTTCGGGCAAAAAATTAAGTTTCTCCAATCTTCTCAAAACTCTGAATTCTGATGGAGGGCCACGAGACTTTGACCTGAGTGCAAAAATGGAGGCTCTAGACCCTTCTAGAGCTGAGATATCGAAATTAAAAATTTCGACCCGAAAAAAAAACGACAGTGGTACCCCTTACGTTTTTTTTCGTTTTTGGGTGCAAAATTAAGTTTCTCCAATCTTCTCAAAACTCTGGATTATGATAGAGGGCTGTGAGACTTTGACCTGAGTGCAAAAATGGAGGCTCTAGACCCTTCCAGAGCTGAGATATCGAAATTCAAAATTTCGACCCGAAAAAAAAAACGACAGTGTTACCCCTTTCGTTTTTTTAGTTTTTGGGCGAAAAATTAAGTTTCTCCAATCTTCTCAAAACTCTGGATTCTGATAGAGGGCCACGAGACTTTGACCTGAGTGCAAAAATGGAGGCTCTAGACCCTTCTAGAGCTGAGATATCGAAATTCAAAATTTCGACCCGAAAAAAAAAACGACAGTGTTACCCCTTTCGTTTTTTTTCGTTTTTGGGTGCAAAATTAAGTTTCTCCAATCTTCTCAAAACTCTGGATTATGATAGAGGGCTGTGAGACTTTGACCTGAGTGCAAAAATGGAGGCTCTAGACCCTTCCAGAGCTGAGATATCAAAATTCTAAATTTCGACCCGAAAAAAAAAACGACAGTGTTACCCCTTTCGTTTTTTTAGTTTTTGGGCGAAAAATTAAGTTTCTCCAATCTTCTCAAAACTCTGGATTCTGATAGAGGGCCACGAGACTTTGACCTGAGTGCAAAAATGGAGGCTCTAGACCCTTCCAGAGCTGAGATATCGAAATTCAAAATTTCGACCCGAAAAAAAAAAACGACAGTGTTACCCCTTTCGTTTTTTTTCGTTTTCGGGCGAAAAATTAAGTTTCTCCAATCTTCTCAAAACTCTGGATTATGATAGAGGGCTGTGAGACTTTGACCTGAGTGCAAAAATGGAGGCTCTAGACCCTTCCAGAGCTGAGATATCAAATTCAAAATTTCGACCCGAAAAAAAAAACGACAGTGTTACCCCTTTCGTTTTTTTCGTTTTTGGGCGAAAAATTAAGTTTCTCCAATCTTCTCAAAACTCTGGATTATGATAGAGGGCTGTGAGACTTTGACCTGAGTGCAAAAATGGAGGCTCTAGACCCTTCCAGAGCTGAGATATCAAAATTCAAAATTTCGACCCGAAAAAAAAACGACAGTGTTACCCCTTTCGTTTTTTTTCATTTTTGGGCGAAAAATTAAGTTTCTCCAATCTTCTCAAAACTCTGGATTATGATAGAGGGCTGTGAGACTTTGACCTGAGTGCAAAAATGGAGGCTCTAGACCCTTCCAGAGCTGAGATATCGAAATTCAAAATTTCGACCCGAAAAAAAAAACGACAGTGTTACCCCTTACGTTTTTTTTCATTTTTGGGCGAAAAATTAAGTTTCTCCAATCTTCTCAAAACTCTGGATTATGATAGAGGGCTGTGAGACTTTGACCTGAGTGCAAAAATGGAGGCTCTAGACCCTTCCAGAGCTGAGATATCGAAATTCAAAATTTCGACCCGAAAAAAAAAACGACAGTGTTACCCCTTTCGTTTTTTTTCATTTTTGGGCGAAAAATTAAGTTTCTCCAATCTTCTCAAAACTCTGGATTATGATAGAGGGCTGTGAGACTTTGACCTGAGTGCAAAAATGGAGGCTCTAGACCCTTCCAGAGCTGAGATATCAAAATTCAAAATTTCGACCCGAAAAAAAAACGACAGTGTTACCCCTTACGTTTTTTTTCATTTTCGGGCGAAAAATTAAGTTTCTCCAATCTTCTCAAAACTCTGGATTATGATAGAGGGCTGTGAGACTTTGACCTGAGTGCAAAAATGGAGGCTCTAGACCCTTCCAGAGCTGAGATATCGAAATTCAAAATTTCGACCCGAAAAAAAAACGACAGTGTTACCCCTTACGTTTTTTTTCATTTTGGGCGAAAAATTAAGTTTCTCCAATCTTCTCAAAACTCTGGATTATGATAGAGGGCTGTGAGACTTTGACCTGAGTGCAAAAATGGAGGCTCTAGACCCTTCCAGAGCTGAGATATCGAAATTCAAAATTTCGACCCGAAAAAAAAAACGACAGTGTTACCCCTTACGTTTTTTTTCATTTTCGGGCGAAAAATTAAGTTTCTCCAATCTTCTCAAAACTCTGGATTATGATAGAGGGCTGTGAGACTTTGACCTGAGTGCAAAAATGGAGGCTCTAGACCCTTCCAGAGCTGAGATATCGAAATTCAAAATTTCGACCCGAAAAAAAAACGACAGTGTTACCCCTTACGTTTTTTTTCATTTTTGGGCGAAAAATTAAGTTTCTCCAATCTTCTCAAAACTC